AAATCACTGCGTTTATATATATATTTTTTGATGGGAAGGATGCCATAATATTAAAAATATTAAAAAGTCTAATTATAATTATTAAACATATGAAATGTAGGATGAGTCTTAATATTCGTCAAGTAGTTATTTTCATAGATTCTATATTGTTTGTAATGTTAAGCCGCTCAATTTTGTAAGGAAAATGATTTTTGTACAAATTTTTTGTTCAATTTTTTTGGACAATTTAACATATCATTAAAATAATTAATTTTTTAAATTTATATGAAATCTGTGATATTAAATACATAAACTCATTTAATGACATGTAAAAGTTGTATAAAAAAATGAGACAAAAAAATTGTCCTATAACACCACCCATTTCTTAATTTCTTGAAGTAAAATACTAGTGATACCCCATGTAAGATTATTTAAAGAAAAAATTATCTTACAATCTATCCTGTAGCAAACTACAAGATTAGAACCATAAAAGGAGGTGAGCCTTTGTTATTGGACCCACCTCCCTTCTTTTTTTATGGTCTTAATCTTACAATTTACTACAGGACAGACTATAAAATATAATATCTTATTTAATCAATAAATTTATTTTATAATTTGATTTATAAACTTATTAAAATATTTTTATATTATTTTATTAAAAATATAATTTTAAGGTCATTTTTCTCTTAAATTTTTATCCCCTTTATTATTACTCTTTTTTTTAAATTATAAGAAAATCAGTTTCCACCTTCCTCCACTCCAAACCAAGGATAATTGGAGGAAGAAGGCTCCTAATATCATAGCCAACCTCATTCAAGGATAATTATATTAGGAAGGCTCTTGATATGGTGCAGTGTGAATACCACCTTTTTCTTCCTTTTGATTTCCCATCGTTTTCCTAAATCCGGTGAATATGGTATTTGGAGGAACCACAAAAACCATTAATAAATAGTACTACCAGATTATAACATATACCACCGATCGAGCCCTATACATAAACCCAACAAATACCCAGCTTTACTTCTATCATAATCCCCTACAAATTCTCAAAGGCAATGGCTTTGCTAGCATCCCCATTACTAAAGTCCAAGCCTTTACCCTTTTCGCCTCTTCACAAAACAACATCGGAGAATAAATCCAGCACTTGGATTGCCTTTAATTTGTGTGGGAGGAAGACGAAATCCAATAATATATACACTAAGCATGCCGATTTGCGCAGGGGTTTTCTCACTGGTTTGAATCGGGGTTGTAATAGAACAGTGTTCGTGGTAAATGGGGTGTCGGAAGGAGCGACAAGGGCAGACCCAGAAGGGAAGAATTTTGGTAGAATTTTGTTGTCGGATGTGGTGGTGAAAAGGAGGAAAAGGGTGTTTAGGGGTAGGAAATGGAGCTCCTTGGACATAGGCACTGCTGGTGTTGTTCTGGCTATGCATTTGCTGAGTTTTTTTGCACCGTTTTATTTCAACTGGGTTGCTTTTTGGGTTGCTTTTGGGCTATATGTGGTGACAGGACTTCTGGGCATTACTTTGTCCTTCCATAGGAACCTGTCTCATAGAAGTTTCAAGCTTCCAAAATGGCTTGAGTACCTCTTTGCTTATTGTGGAGTTCAAGCACTTCAGGTATGGCTCTGCATTGGGAGAAACATTTTTTGTCTATGATTGTTGGTGGTTGTCGATTGTCATATCAAGTGTTGTTTTGATGGATGCAGGGGAACCCAATTGATTGGGTCAGCACACACAGGTACCACCATCAGTATTGTGATTCAGAAAGGGACCCTCATAGCCCCATTGAAGGGTTCTGGTTCAGTCACATGAGTTGGCTTTTTGATACAGATTCTGTTAATGAAAGGGTATGACTTTATTTATTTGTCATTCACACATACAGAAAGAATCAGATAGGGATCAAATGATGATGTGTTTTTGATGTTTATTTTAATGGGCAATTGCAGTGTGGAGGGCCAAACAATGTTGGAGATTTAGAGAAGCAGCCCTTCTACAGGTTTCTTCAAAGTTCTTACATTCTTCATCCAATTGCTCTTGGAGTTCTGCTGTACGCACTGGGTGGATTTCCCTTCCTAGTGTGGGGAATGGTAAGCTAGCTCTTCAAAAGAGTTCATTGAGCTTTATCAATATAAACCTCTAGTTTGAAATGGAATTTCCTTCTTATATCTCTCTCTTGGTCTAGCCTCTCGTAGGACATGCTTGTTGTGGTTTCTATTTGTTGTTCTTTGGGTTGAATGGAGGCTGAGAGGGTGCTGCTTCTCCATAGAAGGTTTTCTGGCCCAGAGCACTTGAGACCAGAAGTTCATAATCATAACGTACTTTTAGGCTGGAGATAGATACTGGCAATTAAAGTAGAGTGCAAAACCACAAAACAATCCATATCCATTCAAAGGGTGGGCCTTCACCTTTGAATTCATCTTCACTTCTCACCACTAGAAACCAGAGGGGCCTGCCACTGTGTTAGCAAGTGGGTTTTTGTCATTTAGTGGCCACAAATTGAAAAAAAAAAAAAAAAAAAAGGTCTCTAGGTTGTTTGTAGACTCATGTCATGAATTTTCAATTTGAGACATGGTTCAACTTATCATAAACAACAGCATCATGTTAAGGAAAATGATAAGAACTCCAATCCTGCAATAACATGAGGCAGAAGGCAGAGGGCAGCAACTCTGGTTCTCTGGGTAGATAAAGTTTTCAGGTGGGCAGTCAACTTGTGCTAAATTTGATTTGTGATTGAAGTGGTTTAAGGTTTATGTAGAATTTTTGACATTTGGGTATATCAGCTAGTTGTTTTTGATTAATAGAATAACATAATTTATCAGCTTGAGCTAGTGTTAAATCTTTCTGAATTCTAGGGGCTAGTATTACACATTAATTTAATTTGATGATCTTACAATTTGCAGGGTGTGAGGATTGTGTGGGTATACCACATCACTTGGCTGGTGAATTCAGCTTGCCATGTTTGGGGCCAACAAGCATGGAATACTGGTGATCTCTCTAGGAACAACTGGTAATTCAACTTGCCCCACCAGCATATGCACATATATATTTCTTTCAGTCTGATTTCTGGCACAAGTTAACTAACAGAAGCTAATTTCAAATGGTTCAGGTGGGTGGCATTGCTAGCATTTGGAGAAGGTTGGCACAATAACCATCATGCTTTCGAGTACTCTGCCAGGCACGGCCTGGAGTGGTGGCAACTGGACATGACTTGGTTTGTGATAAAGCTTCTCCAAGTAACTGGGGTGGCAACTGACGTGAAGCTACCTACTGAACTTCAAAAGAAAAGGATGGCTTTCAACAGTTGAGGCTTACTGATATTGAAAGAAGGTTTTTTGAGCTTGAAGTGAACATAATGAGATTAATAGAGTTACTTATTTAGGTGACTGAATGACCTTTGCTTGTTATAGTCATATCGGGACTCTTGGCTTAGCTTCGAAGCACTGAGCTATATTGCCTGAGTTTATGTGTGCTGGCTTCTGATGTAACCTGAGATTACTTCATGGATTATACAGAAATCAATTATTTCATTCTCTGTTTCCCCTTATTTCACGTTTTAGACAGCATTAATGTCCCCATTCATGTTAAGCACGAGATTAACTTTGGCCCCAAAGGTACATTTTGACAACAAAAAAATTTTAAAACATGAAAAGAGAAGGATACAGGTGGGTTAGATAAAGGGATGTATAAAAAAGGGTTGTCTTTTCTTGTACTATCCCAAAATAAAAATAAACAACAATAAAAATATTTAAAGCGCAAAAACAGAGATTTAGCTTTGGCTAGTTCAAAGCAAGAAATAATTTTATTATTGATGGAAAATCGAGGGTTATTTGGCAAGTTAAGAGTTTGGTTTTGTTTGATGAGCCCAATGGCCCAATTCCTTCTGGAGCTTTTCAAGTTTTGGCTTGTAACATAAATCATACCTAAGTCCAAAAGAATCTTGAATAATGGGTTGGGTAGGTTTGAAGTCAATTTTGGTGGGGTTGTGCTTCCGAGCTAACCCCAAGGCCCTAACCAAAGTTACTGGAAGGCCAGGGGCCATTGACCCAGTGAGGGGAGAGGATTAACAGGGTTTTTTTTTTTTTTTTTTTAACATTAGAATATTGAATAATGAATCATATAAGAAAAGATAATTCTCCTATTGAATCTCAAATTATTAACTAATTGGGTTGCCTTTAAACTTAGAGCATGTTTAGTTTGATGGAAACAAAGTGGATGGATAAATTTTTAAACCAATCAAATTATAAAATTAACTAAAATTACACTTTAATGAGTCAAAATACTCATTCCTATGCTCCACTCTCCTTTTTTTCAAACTAGACATATCCTTAGAAATGCATGTTGGTCATTATTATTATTTTTATTTTGTATATCATAGAGTTAACTGCTTGATATTATATAAATTTAAACCTTTAATTTTAATTTTAAATTAAAATTTTTAAGTTAATGAGTAATAATCTAACCAAGCTTTTATTGGTTATGTTAGCCATCATTGGTTCAACTAGTATTTGGACAAAATTCTCATAAAATTATAGTAATTTTTTAAAGTCGTAGATAAAATAAGTATAACATTCTAATGATGAAAGCTGATAAAAAAAAATTTCTAATGATGAAAATCAAACATTAAACACCAAAACAAATGACAATTTAACATTAACATGAAAATATGCTCTTGAAGTGAATAATTTTGCTGTTTTGTAATTATTTTAGCAATTAGTATTTTCTAATTCTTACTAGCTTCACGATCAGTTTGAAGAAAAACAAAAAAGAAAAAGAATAGAACTAATCAAGTTGACAATAGCAGCCATCCATATATGTGATATGATCTCGAGCAATGAGTTCTTAATTCCCCTCAACTTTTTAAACAATGGCCTTACTCACGACCTCAAATTAATTAATGAATTCAAAAGAGTACCAAACCGTTTCAAACTTTCAATAATTAATCAACAATACCATTACCACATTATCCCAAACTTTTAGGGGTCTTAGCCCTTAGGACAACACTCTTCCCCTCAAACATTTGGAATTTCAAAGCAAGTACAGACAAAAAGAATCAATAATTCTATTACCGCGAAAAAAGAATGCTTTCTTTTCATTTGATAATTAGAATAGTGGCTGAAATGGCTAATGGTAATTACTAATTAAATAAGCAAGGGAGCAGAAAAGCATGATGATTATTAACTATTACTAGTATGAAGACTTTGTTAAAAGTGCTTCTCTTAAACTAACCATTTCTACTACTATTATTTGGTAAATAAAAAGTACATATGTTTGCAGCAATCAAAGGCATGCTTTCTCGTTACTTTTCCTCTCCATTTCAAACAAGCTAATTTTGAGGGATTTTTTTTTCTCTTTACCCTGGCCCCTTTAGATTATAAACTTTAATATTTATGAAAATCAGAGTTTGCTTACGTAAGAACAAAGCATGCTTTTGAATTTAGCATGTCGAGGATTCCATACACGCTTCACGAATCAACATAAACTAATCCTAAACCCATGATATATAGTTCAATATTTTGTGCAGGCTTAGTACGGTGCCATGTACAATTAAACATATAATCATAGTTTATGCATCACCTTCAATAAACTAACATTTGTTTACCCAAAGTTCATTTTGAAGGGTTTTCTCCTTTCTTGAAGGTTTGAAATCCCTATTGTACCTTGAATGCTTGAGAATTGAGAAACACTAAAGGGTATTTGATTGGGAGGAAAATTTTTTTCCTAAAATTTTTAAAACTTTTTTTATATGATTATTTACGTATTTTTATATATTAATATTACAACAAAAAGAGGTTAAATTAAAGTAATATTTTTAACTTTTATTTTTCTGGACACAATTCTTACCTTATAAAGTTTTGTTTATATTTATTTTGAAAGAAAAATTTTTCCTTATAACTATCCTTATATTTGATCTATTTAACAATTTTTTCTATATTAATTTTTTACTAAATACAATAAAATTAGTAATCCAATAAAATTTTAACAAAATTTTATTACAGAAATTAATAATTTTTTGTATATTATTATTTTAATTCTTTTAGTAAATTTTTTTTTAATAAAATGGCATTCTAACCAAACTGATCTTAAGTGTTTTATGTG